TGGCAGCATTCCCTGATGCTGGGAGCGCTTTGATTGGCTGTTTCCATCAGCCAGTCAGAGTGTAAGTAAAGCGTTACAGACAGACAAACGGACTTAGGCTTTTATAATAGAATCAATATGGATAGTTTTGTTACAGTTTTGCATATGCCCATGATGCCCCTGAAGGATCAAGCTGGGCTTTTGTTAAATGTAGCCATTTACTGTTAAGTCATCTGGCAAGTGGCTGTTTCATTATACAGGCAACCCCTGCTTAACGCCATTTCACTTAGCGCTGTTTCACTATAATACTCATTTTAAATTGATACCTGATTTTACTTAGTGCTCAGCAAGTTTTGCTATAATGCTCGCGGTTGCCATCTTGGGTCGTCAAATACTTTCAGTTTTGCCTAACATTCATTTTGCTTAAGGCTCAGTTTTCTAGGAACCAATTAAGATTGCTAAGCAGGGGTTGCCTGTACTGTCCTTTGTGATGGGAAGGGAAAACACTCTTCTCAATAGAATAGGCAACAGTTGCCTAACATTAGATGTCTCATAACTAAAGGGGAAAAGTTTTTGTTAAAAGCAAGCTTAATGATTATGAATGAAATTAATGTCAACACAATTCATTTCCTGCCTCATGTATGATATCTCTGCTTTCTATTTTTGGTTTATTAAGATCACAAGATGATCCCTTTCTGGTATACGCCACTCTTCATTCAGGCAATCATTCTAAGTTTGTTACTAGAGACCTTTTGCGAGATCACAAGGCTTGTTTGCCTGAGAGTATTCAACAGCTGTTTTTCAAGTGGCAACGGGGACACCAGTTGATGCCTTTTTCCTCACGCACAAAAAAGATATCTTTTGCGGTAAGTGCTGTTTAGAGTGCACAATGAGCAATAAAGGTATGCAATATAAGACACTGGAAAGCCATGTAAGAGATTCCTGTTGAAGCCTACGATCTGGATCAGTGGGATCAAACTCCCAGATTAATTCACAAGAATACTTACCAAGTGCTCAAGAGGTCAGAGGCCTGTTGAAGGGACAAGACAATGACATTTCAAGTGCTTAGGCATCTGTTTAAATGCAGAATTGTTGTTTTACATGAAGTGAGCCTCAGGTGCAGTGTACTATGGATGTTTATATCTGAAATTGGAGCCTTCCACATACTAATTTAATCCTTTTCTTGCACCTGGTTTAAGCTTGGAAATAGGAATTCTCCTTACCGAGTCTTCTGTAAAGTAGCATATTTAACCCTAAAAAAAGAACTCCTTATTTTAAGGAAGCATTCAGAGGCAAATACAGATGGTTTCAGTGTAGTAAACACAGTTGATCTAGGTAAGTGTTTGATGCAGTGAACAGGTACATAAAGAGCATACAGCCAATGAGTGAGTACTGAGTGTCCTATGCTCAGAGACATCCTTTTGAACATAGCACGTTATAGTTGTGGCTGGAGGACATCAATTCCTATTTCCCTTTAGCCATGAACAGCTCATTAACAAGAGCTCAGCACTTAACTGGCCTCAGAGCTATATGATTCATCATGTGACATGTTCCAGGTCTTGTATTTTTCTAATTTTGGGTCTAGTTATGTTGTAATTGTATAGTCTTTTCTTTAACCATCTTAGAATCATAAAAAATAAGGGTTGGAAGGGACCCCAGGAGGTCATTTAGTCCAAGCCCCTGTTCAGTGCAGGGCTATCTTCAACAAGGTCATTCCAGCCAGAGCTTAAAAACCTCCAAGGATGGAAATTCCTCGTTGTCTCTGGCTAACTTGTTCCAGTGCTTTACTACCCTCCTAGTAAAAAAGTTTTTCCTCATATGCAACCTAAACTTTACTTGGTGCAACTTGAGACCATTGCTCCTTGTTCTGTCATTTGCAACCACTGAAAACAATCTAGATCGAGATCCGTCCTCTTTGGAGCAACTCTTCAGGTAGTTGAAGGCTGTTTTTAAATACCCTCTGGCATCTTCTCTTCTCCGGGCTAAACAAGCCCACTTCTCTCAGCCTTTCCTCAGAAGTCCTGTTCCCAAACCCCCTAACCATTTCCACTGGACTCTGTCCAATTTGTCTGCATCCTTTCTGTAGTGGGTGCCTCAAAACTGGACAGTGCTCCAGCTGTGGTCTCACCAGTGCTGAATAGAGGGGTAGAATCACTTCCCTCAGTCTAGCTGGCAGTGCTCCTAATAATGCAGCCCAGTATGTTGTTAGCCTTCTTCACAACAATGGCACGCTGTTGGCTTATGTTCGACTTGCTGTCCACTGTAACTCCCAGGTCCTTTTGTGCAGAGCTGCTGCTTAGCCAGTCAGTTCCCAGTCTGTACCGAGGCCTGGGATTGTTCCATCCTAAATGCTGGACTTTGCATTTGTCTTTTTTGAACATTTGGTCCAATATGCCAATTGGTCAAGGCCTCTCTGAATCCTAGCCCCATCCTCCAGCAGATCTACTACTCCCCCCCAGCTTGGGGTCATCTGCAAATTTACTGAGGGTGCACTCCATCCCATCTTTCAGGTCACTGATAAATATATTTAAAAGTACAGGCCCTAAGACTAATCCCTGGGGCACTCCAGTTAATATTGGTAGTCAACTAGGTATCAAGCCATTGATTGCTACCCTTTGAGCAATCCAGCCAGGGCTCTATCTAGTGTGAACTACCCCCTATTCAATACCCTCCCTGGCATCTTCTGTTATTGGTTTAGAGATGCCAGAGGAAATGTTTCCAACTGTTCTGTTCACTAGCCATTAATAAGTCTATCACCTGTGACTTTATCCAGTTTGTAAACCCAGCTATGCTGTCTGCCTCCACCATGTCCTGTGGCAGTGAATTCCACAATTAACTATGCATTGCATTTAAAAAAACAAAACAAAACAAAACAACTCTCTCTTAGTTTTAAACCTGTCACCTACTAATTTCAGCAGGTGCTCCCTAGTTCTATTTTGCAAGGCAGACAAACATTTTCTTTTTAATTTCCAGAAATATCAAAGAAAAATTGTTGTTGTTCTCTGGTGGGAGATTGGAAACCACATTTTAACCACTCCAAGACTCCAGATTACTAACAATGTTTCAGCTTTTCCTCACTAGAATTTAAGGTGCATTTGCATCTGAGAGAGAGATGAATGAATGTGTGCTCAGATGAAATATTTAAAAGTACAGAAGTCAGAGTCTATACAAAGAAGAAGAAAAAAGAGGGGGAAAGTAGAGTCATAATTTACTATGACTTACTGAGAAAGATAAAAGTAAATAATACATACCTTCAAGTCAGCAAAAGAATTCTTAGTTTAGTGTTTCCCCGAGTTCAATAGAACTGAATTAGAAAAAAGAATACTGGGGCCCAGTTACATTTTGTTTACTTGTATTGTGTGCTTTATATAGGAGGTCCTGGATTTGTGGGCCAAGATTCAAGAACAAAAATAAGTAAACTGCCTGCGAGCAACACTTCAAATCTACTTTAACATGTTTCACTTCGAGTTTTCTGTTTTGCAAAACCCATGAGTAGCTTTCCACTTAGACTTCTGAGAAAGGAAGGAAATATTTATTAGCAGTCAAGTGTAATCATTTTACTTTATATAGCTTAAAGTTGGTATAATGTTTCTTTTTCCCTTTTTTTTTTTTTACCCAACAGCCTATACTTAGTTACGATACAGTGGTACAGACTACAGGTGACACGTGGCATATTCCATATGATGACCACCTGGTGGAAAGATATTCCTATGAAGTGCCAAGAAAATGGCTTTGCCTTCAGAGAAAATAAGAGTGCAGTTTTACAAACTGAAGCTTCAGTCATTTACTACTGTTGCTAGCTGGCTACCAACCCTCCCTTCAAACCATGTCTAGTTACAGGATTAGCATGCCATAATGTGAATCCTGAAGCTGACTAAATGTTCAGTTACTATATTGATTTGGTTAAGTTCATTCAAGTCAGTGACAGTACACCAAGGGTGAATTTTGACTATTATAATTGCAAACCATTTTTGTATCTTACTAGCCGACTTTTTTTTTTTTAATTACAAAATTAATTTTTCCGTCTTTGAATGTCATAGCTCTTTTTCTTAAGAATTTCAACAGGAGAGAGATTCAAGAAGTTTGAACTTAGGCATATTTCTGAAATTATACCAAGGAGCTGCACATTGAACCTGATGCACCTGGCTCAATTTATTGGACCTAGAGTGTCAGGCTGGTGCACTTGATGTTTACCATTCACCTTTTAAGTTTAGTATTGATCTTTCCTTAAACTAAGATTTTGTATGCAAGAGATTTGTTGCAGAAACATCATCTGTTAAGTTTTTGTTTGTGAGCATAAATGAAATCAAGCAATATAAATAACCTGTGGATTCCAACACTGCAACTAAATTTTAGTTTCTGTATTTGCAAAGATATACAGTATTGAACTGATGTTCTCATGGAAACAAATGTGTTTATTTAAATAAACATTGATTATGGACAGGCCTTCACTACAGGCAATGATATGGCCTTGAACTCTGTGTAGACTCTTGCAAATTGTACCTGAAATTATAACACCATAAAGATGGTGCAGAATTACATAAAAATGGAGAATCCATTATTATTTATTACTGTCTTTACCTGAATCCAAGATGACTTTGAGTTGGAGATGATCCTTGTAGCAGAGCTGGGGGCCAGAGATGGTGGGATCTGTCCCTGGTGACCTCTGTCTTTACTTCTGGTTCTCTCCCTTTTACTTTTCTGTCATGCCTTTGATGATACTTTAAGAGAAAAAGAAGTTGGAGGGGGCTGCCTCCATCCCAGGGTCTCGCTGTCTGGCTTACCCATCCATACATCTCTGTTCATGTTGTGTCCTATTGATTCATGAACTCCAATCTCCTCTGTAGCCAGCCACGCTCATGCCTTGCAGGTGTCAGCAGTCAGGTCAGTGAGCCTTTGGCCGCAGGTTCTTCTTCTGCCCTGTCAGGCTTATAAGCATCTGATCAGGCTTCCCCCCTCCTGGAGCTACGAGCCCTTTCTCGGGCTGTGGGCCCCTGGCCTTTCCCTCCCCTTTCTTGGGGCCATGGGTCCCTGACCCTGGCTTTACCTAACTCCAGCACTGGGCCTATGGCCTGGTCTCAGTCACTTCCCTTTTTCTCAGGCAAGATGCCTAGCCCTAGCCCTCCCCATCTCAGGGTAGAGCTCTGTCCTTAGCAGGCTCAAGCTTGGTTGTGCTTCTAGGGCAGGCTCAAGCTTGGTTGTGCTTCTAGACACTATTAGGACCTCCTCCTCTTCCACTAATCAGTCCCAAACCAGTTCAAATCATAACAGAAAAGTCCAGCACTCCAGCTATAATCAAAATCAAGCACTCTGACTGTGTAAGAAAGTTCAGCTCACAGGCAACTCACAGTTCCTTAGTACTCTACCTGTTACAAGGTCTCTGGCAGTCTCTCAGCCTGGGCATAGCACTAAGCCCCCCCCCTTGGTGATGAAGCAGCTAGAGTTCCTCAGGCAGTCTCCCAGCCTGGGCCATCATGGAGAGGCTCCTCTGGCAGCCTGCCTCCTGGCTTCAAGTCCTGGGCTTATATAGGGCCTAGATCCCACCCCTCCAGATCTTGTGGTCTCTCAACCACTGCAGGTGCCTTTTAAGTTAACTAGTTGGTCTTCAGAGCTTCTCCTAGCTGTGGGAGATAGGAGCTAACTGCCCCACTTCCCAGCACTATTGTGGTGAAGCTAGTCTTGCAGTAGGCAGACCACTGTCCCCATCCTTCTCTGCCCTATTGAACTATTTGCTACTCTTTTGCAAGCAGCCTAGTCCACCTGAACTCTTCCCTGCTGCCAGCTTTCTCCATAGTAATGGAGCCCCTGGCTTCTTATTCTTATCCTCAGCTTGTCTAATATCTTACAACTATATATAGTAGTTAGTCCAATAAAAGATATTACCAGACAAATCTTCCCCTCCTGAGCCCCTTACTGCCAGTATTAGGAAAGGAACTTGGAACTGAATGGACACAAATACTGGTAATAGAGTACATCACATCTTGAGCTGGTCCTTCAGAATAGGATGAAGCACAGTTACAGGCTGGTATGAAAGAAGACTGAAAAGGTGCTGCAGCTGTGAATAGAGATCTGTTTGTCATGCTACTGAGCTACAAAATATCAGAGAACAATCGTCCTGTGCAGTTCTTCTTTCCTGTGTCAGAGAACCTGACTCTAATGGGCCTAAAGAAAGTTAATGAGTAGCAGACCAAAAATAAATCCCTTTTATTTTTGGCTATTTTGAAACAACAGCATAGTTTGAAGTTCAGTAATTTGCCACATATATTGAGGGAGCTGATGGAGAGGCTTCTGAAACAATATCACTCCACTCTGCCATGCCTCTTAAAATGTTGGATTTTTAAAATTTATTGTAGGTCTAAAATGAGATACTGAATCTTTGATTCAAAACATGCAAGTCTCCTGACTTATTACCATGATTTATTTGCAGTTAGACTATATGGACAATAATTCCTGCAATTTTCCATCTTCTTTTCCTTAAAGGGAAAGGGGCTCCAGTAGCTAGCTCTGTTGGCCTATGCAATGAGAATTTTCACAATGCTGTATTTAATTTTTTGCCTACGGAGGGAGTTGTTATTATTTGAGGAAAGAGGGCCAGTGCCTTTCTATATACGATCAAACTCTCTCTCATAAGATGCAGTAAATTACAAATAGGTAATTGAAAAAATAAGGGAAAAAATTAAAGGCACATTGAGAGATCACTATCCAAAAAGTAGATGGAAATAGTATTTTCCTACAGGCATTCTGAGTCCATTTAGCAGTTGTACACTAACAGGTAACAGATTTTGGAAAATGGCTTTCCAGGTTGGTTTATGACATAATTAAAAAACCAAAAACATTTCTACACTCAGTAGGGGAAATCCAAGGCACTAGTTTCATAGTTTCTAGGGTCAGAAGGGACCTGAACAGACCCCATGCCCTGGGCAGGAATGAGTGCTGGGATCATAATATTCCAGCCAGATATCTATCCAGCCTCCTCTTGAAGACCCCAAGGTATGGGAGAGCACCACCTCTCTGGCCCCCCCCCTCTCTGGGGACCCCATCCCAAACCCTGGCAGCCATAACCATAAAGTGATGCCTCCTGATATCAAGCCTGAACCTGCTGTCAATGAATTTGGCCATTATTCCTTGTTATCCCAGGTTGTGCCCAGGGAAACAGCCTCGCCTATCTTCTGCTGGTCCCCTCTGGTGAGTTTACAGACAACCGCCAGATCCCCTCTGTCTTGTCTTGTGGAGGCTGAATAGATTCAGGCCCTATGTCTTCATAGGGCCTGGTCTGCTGCCCCCTGACCATGCGAGTAGCCCTCCTCTGGGACCCTCTCAAGGTTAGCCACATCCCTCTTGTGGAGTACTGCATCCAGTTCTGGGTGCTGCACTTCAACTGCAGCCTGACCAGCGTTGCATAGAGGGGAAGGATCACCTCCCTGGACCTGCTTGTGCTGCAACTGTAGATGTACGACAATGTGCGGTTAGCCTTACTAACTGCTTCCTCGCATTGGCGGCTCATGTCCATCTTGGAGTCAACAATGACTCCCCGATCCCTTTCAGCCACTGTGTTGTTGAGAAGGGTGTTCCCCAGCCTATAGGTGTGTTGCAGGTTCCTTCTCCCTAGATGCAGCACCCTGCACTTGTCTGTGTTGAGTTCCATTCTATTCTCATCCACCAACCAAGACATGTTCATGGCTTTAAATGGGGAATTTCCCTTTGTACCACATACTGATACACATTATGTCTTTTCAAATATCTTGCACTATGGTGATGCAGCTGTGGCAGAAATTAATCCTGAAATAAAAGCCCCACCTTTTTTCTCCTCTTGTAATCTGAAATCCATATACATGTATAAACGCACAGCCGGATTTTCCTTGCAAAACTGCTAATGCTTTAGAAGAGTAGCGCAAGAGTGACGCTGTGGCCAGCACAGTGCAGGAATTACACGAGGTAAGTATTCCTTAGGAAGACATCGATTATCAGACCAGCTACATAGCTGGAACCACGTTAGAGAAGCTTCCAAATGCAGGGCGTTCTTTGCCAGGGTCTAACGGAAGTGCGGCATTCACAAGCTTAGAATGGGGGAGAGAGTGCGGTGGGTGCACCGCAAGGCGCGGCACAACCCCAGTGCCCGAGGGGCTGTTCCGCCTCCGGCCTTCAAGACCCTTTCTCCCTCGCCATGTGAGAGCGCGCCACGGTCAGCAGCAAGCCCGGGCCGCGGGGTGCCGCCTGCGCGCCGGAGCGAGCCGAAGTGGGCTCGGGCGAAAAAGATGCGAGCAGCAAGCGAGGAGGGCGGCTCTGGTGGGGTCTCGTGTGGCCGCGCCGCCCTCCTTAGGCTCCGACGCCTGAGAGGAGGCAGCTGCGGTCCAGCTGGTCGACTGCCGCCCTCCCGCGATGCCACCGAACCAGTCTGTTGCCTCAACGCTCTGCGGTCCTTAGCGCTGGGGGGAGGACAAGCGTCTTCCTCCACCCTGTCTTGTGCGCGTGCGCAGTCCAGGTCACCCGGGTGCAGGCGGGAGGGTGCTCGGAAATATACATGTGCGGCAGAGGCGCCGCTTGAGCTGCTCCCGCGCTTGCGTGGAGTGCGTGCCCCGGAAGTGTTCCTGCTGCTGTCCCGTTCTGGCCGGTGGGCGCGGGCCCCGCGTGCTGTATCCAGGCCGGAGCGCGCGCCTCTCGCCATGTCCCGCGGCTCCAGCGCCGGCTTCGACCGACATATCACCATCTTCTCCCCCGAGGGCCGTCTCTACCAAGTCGGTGAGTGCCGCCGCCGAGATGCCGAGTCACGGGCCTGGCCGTGGCCTGCCCCCGCCCCCCCCCGGT